GGGTTACTAGTCCATTGACAATACCGTATTGTGAAACTCCCTCACCATAAGCAGCATTCCCTCTAAGCTACAGTTCAACATCCCACTTAGAGATGTGTGCGCTGATGCCGATCAAGGCATCAACTTCTGATTAGAGAGAGGCCCACACAGCTGAAATGAAATTAAAAAAAGGAACACTGACCACAAGCCTGGGGCATGTGGGGGGGTTTGACATTGCGGTATTGTCAATGGACTAGTAATCCACAGACCCCAGTTGATGCTCTTGGCTAATGATCATGAGATGAATTCCATCATGGCAGAGGGAAACATTTGAATTCAGTGAACAAAACAACACTAGAATTAAAGAGGAGAGTCACAGTGACCATGAAACCATTTTCAATAGTCATAAAAACTCATCTGGTTCATTCATGTTCTTTAGCAAAGGAAATCTGCTTTCCTCACCTGGTCAATCATCTGTGACTCCAGATCCACAGCAATGTGCTGCCTTAACTTCTCCAGAAATGGCCTAGCAAACTACTCAGCTGCATTTAATTGGTACATATTCCAGTCAAAAAGGAACGAGATCAAATGGACAACCCAGTACTGATTAAGATGGACACAGTCCTGTCGACCTTACAAACTCTTGATTAACATCTGGGTTTTGTACTAAAATTGGGAATGCTGTTCAACAGACTAGTCAAGCAACAGCACAACAGTGATAGGAAATATGTTATAGAAAATGCCACAGACACCATTATCACCACCCATGAATATATCATTTGGGCTGATAAGTATGAGCAGTATATCTGTCATATATGAGAGAATAATGAGAGGTGATGGCACATGGGTGTACAGTTTGAGACGCAGTTGTGATTGGAGTCTCCATAATAAAAGCATGCGGGCTAAGATTGGATGATTTCCTAAAAAGGTCATGTTCTTCATTCTTAGTGGACTCCACCAATTTTCCTAATGACTGATGTTAGTTGATCTGACCTCTGAACTCCTGCTTGCCATCTCTTCTTTCTTGAGAAAGTGCATTTGTAGTTTTGAATTGGCTCATTTCCAGAAGAACCTAGAAAATCTTAGAATATTACACAATGTACTCTATTGTAACAACTTCTTGTAATAAGCTAGGAAGAAGATTTCAGGTCCAGGGAATGTGTCAATCTTTAGCAGTACAGGATGGTACTGGCTGCTGCCAATGTGCATATGGTGCAAGGATGCAAAATGCTTTTTTAAAAAAAGGATGGTGTGAGAATCAAACAGGCTGCTTTGTCAAGCCTGGGGTACTGTTGGAGCTGTAGTGATCCAGGGAACAAGGGTGAATTCCATCACACTCCACACTTGAGCCATATAGATGGTGGACTGGTGCAATAAGCAGATTTCCCAGCCTCTTACCTGCTAGTGTAGTTAACAGTTTGTATTTGGTCCAATTAAATTTATGGCCAATGGTAACTCCCAGCATGTTGACATGGGGGAATTCAATGATGCTAATGCCTCTGAATAACAAACAGATGATTAGATGCGCTTTTGTTAGAGCCAGACCATCTCCATATGGCAGATATTACTCGCACTTATCAGCCCAAAGGAATGTTGTGCAGCCGCAAACTGTTTCCAACACCGAGTTAGGTCAAACATTGTGCAAACATCTCCACTTCAGTCATTGATGGAGTAACTGAAGATTGTCGGGCCTTCAGGACTGTCCGAGAACTCTTGCTGAGATGGAGATGTTTGACCTCCTACAACCACAGACACCTTCCTTTATGGTCAGAATGGCACCAGCTGCTCAAGAAGCACCTCCAATTATTACAGATTTCAATTGACTAGGACTCCTTGAGGCCACATTCTGTCAAACACAGCCTTGACACCAAGGCCAGTGATTCTACCCTCACCTCTGGAATTCAGCTATTTTACCCATATTTGGACCAAAGCTGTAATGTGGTCTGGAATCAAATAGGCTTGGTTGAAACAAAACAGAGATCAGTAAACAGGGTATTCCTGAGTAAGTGCTGATGTCTAATACTAAGATCACCTTCCATCATTTTGTTACTGAGCATATACTGTGGGTGGCAATTTGCCAGATTAGATATGTCCTGTATACAGACAAGATAAATGTGGCGAATTTTCTTCATTGTTCTAGGTGTTGTAATTGTTCTGGCTCGACCTGGCTAGGGACATAGCTAGTTCAGGAGCACAAGAATGAATAAGAGATGCTGGGAAAACTCAGGAGGTCAAGTAGCACGTATGGGGATCTCGAGTTAAAGTTCCAGGTCAACGGTCTTGCTTCTGAACTGTATACTCAAGACTGGGCAAATAGCTTTTTGGACACTGGGGGAAAATTATTAATATATAAAAAAAAAAATCAGACACAGGAGTGGCTTGAGACCATGATTTTCTAGGATGTTTAATGTATTCAAGTATAAATGATTTTATAATAAAGAATAGATAAGGTGGAGGCAGGGAGGTTGTTTCTGCTAGCAGGTGAAACTAGGACTAGAGGGCATTGCCTCAAAATAAAGGGAAGCAGATGTAGGACTGAGGTCAGGAGGAAGTTCTTCACCCAAAGGGTTGTGAATCTGTGGAATTCCCTGCCCAGTGAAGCGGTTGAAGCTACCTCACTGAATGTTTTTAAAGCAAGGCCAGATAAATTTTTGAACAGTAAAGGAATTAACAGTTATGGTGAGTGGGCAGGTAAGTGGAGCTGAGTCTCAAAGATCAGCCACGATCTTATTAAATGGCGGCGCAGGCTCAAGGGGCCAGATGGCCTACTCCTGCTCCTCCTACTTATGTTCTTATAACAGAAACTGACAAGATTTAGGCAAAGTGTGACAACAGGAAGTAAGGGTTTACGGTAAAGTGATAGCAAATGCAAAATATTTTTATATCAAGACAGGGACATATTTCAAATAGGAGCCTCTTAACTGAGATAAAGGAGTACACTTGATACACAAACATTAAGGAATTTAAAACAAAGTCAATTGGGGGAAAAAATCCACCACAAAACTGGCTGCACATAGTTATAGAGATAGCTTGGGTGCTCCTATTACTCAATCTTCCTGCTTTAATTTTTAGTATTTTAAAACCTTACTCATTACTGAAGCTGAATGCAGTTTTCCTCTTCTCTGCGTTTATGAATTGTCCATCTAGCTTATGTCTCATATTTGGGAAACCCAAGTGATATAGTCCTGTTGTTAAAAAACCAAACCAGACCTAGTGCTCACTTGTATAACAGGGTCCCTCGCACCTTCATGGTTCCAAGGATTGGATGCCAATGGACTACTGCGTCCCTGCTTGATGGTTCGCGCGCGTGTGCATGAATTACATTTGGACATTTGAATTAGACAAGTGGATTTTTCTGTGCATCTGGAGGACTTAACGGTTAACTTGCAAATATTTCTGTACACATGGTGGTATATTTTAAACCAATTTGATACAGAAGTAGCTTTCAGACCAAATGGATTTTTGTGTATGTTAGAAGAAATGACTAATGACCAAGGTAATACAATTATGTATCAATGTTTCTATTAGAAATTTCGGAAAACACCCATAACTTGAAAGTTTTAAAAAAAAAAAGTTTTTTTGGAAAGACGTTTAATTTTGAGGCACTCCTGTCAAAATTCTTGGATGAAAATTGATACATAAAGCATGCCCTAAGAAAGGAAGATGCAGCAAGGGAATTTTGTAATTGTCTCAGACCAGAAGTATTTTGATAAAACCCTGAAGTAGTATTTGAAACTAGGAACATTTAAACTAAGGTGTATATCAGCTCCAGGATGCAGCTATTGTATTTCCTAGACAGAATTAAAATAACAATTAAATTAAACTTAGGAGGTAGTTGGAGAAAGATTATACAATAGGTGCTTTTGGCTACTGTATGGGGTATTTTTGGGATCTGTAAAGAAGTTTTTTGGGCTTTATGGGATTACATATTACTGCATGTTTCAAAATCTTCACATTTGTCTTATAAAAGAGTCTGGCTGGTTCAATTTTTTTTTTGCTTAAAAAAACTACCATTTCATCATAAAGACTAAATGTGCGATATTACATCCTTATGTTTCAATGAGAGGCCATCTCATTGAAACCAAAACAAAATCCAAAATCCATCAAGCCAGATTTCAGTACAGGATCAGATTTGTGACATTTGGAGTTGGATTTATTCAGACTGAAGCATAATTGTTTATCTCCTGACTGCACACTCGTGTCAGTGTATCTTTCTATGTTCCCAAGTATCCAATTAATGCCCTCCACTGTTAATGTACTTAACCTCGACTAAGACAAATAACAATAGCCAATACCCTTTCTGTACAATGTACAAATAAATAAATCAATCATGTTTGAACATAAATATTCAAATTTGGAAAAAAAAAAAACTTACCAAAATGGTGTATATATGCAGGCATCTGTAAACAGGAGAAAAATCCACCAGATCCTGGGCAGTAAGAACCTGTTGAGTACGAACCAAAGCTTTAAACCAAATATCCAACTGCACTAGTACAAACAGTTATTTTGCAAATAGAAAATTAAATTTTTGACTTTAAATTAACTTTTAACAATGAAAATGTTCAACACACTTTAGATCACATTCTTGAGATTAGCACAGTTGTCCAATCAAGATGCCCAGGAAGATCAGTAGTCAGCTCCTTATGGGAACAGTAGGAGTCTCATGCTCCCATCACAGAATTAAACTTTACTTTATGCAAAAGTACCACTTAAATCACCACATATGTTTGATCTTAGATAAGCATTTAAAGTGTTAAGATCAACCTACAACTCTGGCTGCCCATAGAACTCACTGGGAAGAGAATAGCCAATCACAAATTCTTACACCAAGCATCCTATACCTTTAAAAATATTTACCTTTGTACAGAATAGAAAGTAAATTGAAAAAAGGTGAACCAGTTAGTTAAAAACTGCATTTTTAGATCACAAAATATACTTCATCACAAATTAGCCCCTACATTTACAGTCTAAATAAGGAACAATTCTTAAAATTACCTCCTCTTCATATTCTTCTTCATCCTGGAACTGTTCTAACGTGGTTTCATCCATGTGGTCAGGAACCATACCATTGGCAATGTATAACTTCCTTTCATGGCTGGTATTAGTTTGCTTCTTCACAACACTATTAAAAATTCTCTGTTGTTGAGACTGTGGATCATCAATACAAAGCCAATTTGAAAGATTCCAAACATATGTGCTTTGAGGAACTGCTTCATTCACACAGTTAAACATTTAAATAAGACACTCCAAAGTTTTATTGATCTGACACCATGCTGCATTACAGATTATAAGTTACCCACACTTGAAATTCATCATCTCAATCTAACTTTCACAAGAATTAACTTAGTATCAGTTGTAGCAGACTAGATAAACATGTCACTTGTCATCTGCCAAGATAAAACAAGAGAGAGAGAGTCTTAAAACATTTCAAATGAATATTACATCGGGAAAATTAGAAGTAACATCCTGTCCGAGATAACTGTTTTAAAGTCTTAGCTCTTCCTCAAAAACAGGAAATCAGCATCTAATGCAGCCAAATGACTCTTTGACAAGTCAATTTAAAAAACCATTTAACTGACTTATCAAGAAGAACATACACCACAAACGTGTATGTCAAACCACTGCTAAAATGCAACTCAAAAATCTAGGTTGATGAGTTGCTGGTGTTAGAATCCCTACAGTGTGGAAACAGGCCCTTCGGCCCAACAAGTCCACACCGAACTTCAGAGCATCCCACCCAGATCCATCCCCCCATGACCCACCACCTCCCTGAACACTACGGGCAATTTAGCATGGCCAATCCGCCTAACCTGCACATCTTTGGACTGTGGGAGGAAACCGGAGCACCCGGAGAAAACCCACGCAGACACGGGGAGAATGTGCAAACTCCACACAGCAGTCGCCTGAGGCTGGAATCGAACCCACGTCCCTGGCGCTGTGAGGCAGCAGTGCTAACCACTGTGCCACCGTGTCGCCCGTATTGGATTGGGGTGGACAAAGTTAGAAGTCACATGACACCAGGTTATAGTCCAACAGGTTTATTTGGAATCACAAGCTTTTGGGGCACTGCTCCTTTGTCAGGTGAAGCACTCCAAAAGCTGGTGATTTCAAATAAACCTGTTGGACTATAACCTGGTGTCGTGTGACGGAATCAAAAATCTAGTACCTCATGACTGAGTATTAATTTTCTCAACTGTATTCCAACACTTGGGCATTCATTTGCTCTTGAATGATAATCCATCTACAAATGCCTCTGACTTTTTGTGGTACTCTTCAGTAACCCGCTACCAAGAGGAAGAATCTAACTTACTAGGACTGAGAACCTACATACAGACTGAAAATCATATGTGAGATGCACACAGTTTCATTAAAGCACAGAAGCACTCTCCACTGAAAAAATTTTTCTCCTCAACTCATCTACCTGGAGAATTATCATCAACGCTCACTTTTTTAAAAAGCGATTTAAATGACAACCAAAAAATTCCTCAGTTAGGTGCCATGGTTTCCTTCATTTGAAAAGGAATTTGATTAAAGAAATTTTTAAACAAAAACAAAAAAGAAGTTGCTGTATACATATAAAATATAGCAGAAAACAGGTTAGTGTACAAAATGCCAAAACCCCTCTAAATTTAGATAGAAAACTGTGATCTGAACTCAAAGTCAAAGTCATTGTCCCAAATCCAGTTCCATTAAACTGGTCACCAAGATTCAGTTGCATGTGTCACTATTCTTTGAGGGTCATCCAGCTGAATATTGTGAAAACCTGGCTAATGCATATCAGCAAAGTGTCAGATCAAAGAAAGATCCTGTTCTCACTGCTTACTCATACATGCCCGTCTGTCCCCCCCCAGGAAACCAAAACTGCATAAATCACATGCAAGAAGCATCTAAAAGAACTACTGGGACCTAGCTTCAGCTAGGCAGCTGAAGAACAAAGATCAGGGAACAAAAACTTGTCTCCAATAATTACATTTAACCATGGAATTGCTTAGTCTGAATTTTAGTAAGCGAGCTTATACAAGCCACGTTACACAATTACAATGAACAGAAAATTAGATGTTACGCTTTTCTAAAAATTACAAAAAAAAAATCACTTTAGAAATAAACTAATTTTTTTCCTCACTTGTTTCATGGCCATCTCTCCTATTTTATCAGAATGTTTCCGAATACTTTCTAAGAAATCTTTCAAATCTGACATGGAAATTTCCTTGATTTCTTCTCGCAGCCGGGGAATATTTTCAGTCATGATCTGACAGAAGCGATATTGATAAACCTGCGGAAGATAGGTATTTTCTAGAAGTTCCATAGTTTTCAAAGCAGAATAATATCTGGGGGAAAAGAAATATGCATCAAATCACATTCGTTACTCCAAAATAGAATTATTTTTAAAAATCCACTATGAATCATAAATAAAAATCAAAATTAAAACAATTAGAAAACAATATCTCAGGCCCTACATAGTGTTCCTAAGTATTTCGGTATCAACCTCCCTATTTTCCCCCTACAGCCATCCTCTTTCAGGCAGGATAGATATCATTTGAAGATCAGTAACCATGATTTTTCTCATCTGATGGAGCTTGACCATTTGTTTTGAAATTCTTTAAATGTTTTGTTCCTTATCCCAAACTATCTTCTTCAAAAAAAAAGTGTCTGAACTGCCTACTTGTTTCAGTTCATTTCACCATAAAAATCAATACATAATATTCGAGAACTCATGCTTTCGTTTGCAACAAAAGAATTTCTTAAAAATTAGCAAGTTCTCTTCACTTTTGCTGTCTTGAGTGAGAAATCCTAGCAAAGATATCAAGCCATTCAGCTGTAAAAACGGCCATGACCGTGACATAAAAATTGGTAAAATATTAAGTGCCACTGGAACATTCCAGCTATCACAACTTGACGTTCTAATTAAAAAAAAGTTCTAAATCCTTTAAAAAAAACACATGAAAAAGATATAGTATTGATAAAAAGTTCAAAATTGTCTCAATTATTGTCTGAATTCCTGTTATCCTGCTTAACTAGACTAAGCATTTGAGTGTGCAGTCGTCTTTAAATTAGAAAGTAACTAGAAAAGGATTTTTAAAAAACCCAAGGCAAAAACAGGTTGATGAATTTCTCATTTTCAATGCCAAAAAAAAGGATTCATCTTATGCAAGTAAAAATGCACCCCAATCAGACTATCCAGCAAAGCTGTATTAACAGCACATTTGAACAACTTGGACTCACTTATAATCATAGCGGCTCATATGATATAATCATAAACTGAGGCTTCAAGCTCAAAAGAAGAACTTTCATCCCTAATGACACTGAATCTGGCGCAACACAGAATAGCACATTTGTTAGGTTATGCCATCATGACATATTGAAAAGAGCAACAGAAAAAATGCACCCCATGAAGAAGCTATATTTACGATAGCACTGAATTCATATAACCCATTTTATTCAAATTATATGGATTATCTTATCTTCGCACTGTTAGGTCATCTGGAAAACCTTGGATTTGAGATCAATACTCAATCTTTCAAATACATTCTGCAACTTCTCTAATTATATTTATCTGTAAATAAAGATCTTGGCCTTTCAACATTTGTTCCCATAAACTTAAAAAACCTCAGTTTCACATCAACTGCATGTCAAGATTTAAAATGTGTTATACACAACTTAAGATGAGGTACTCAGCTCACAATACCGTAACAATAGACTACATAAAAATATTGCCAAACACTTTTGGTGGTGGTAAAATCATAAAATGTACAAAGCTGTAAAATGTCTTACATTGATACTCAAAACCCAAATGATTTGAGTGCAAATTTTACCCAATAGCCAAACCAATTTGTCATTGCAACTGTGTATTGTTCTTCAGTTTAAGTAGTGAAAATCTCATTGAAATAAAAAAAAGTTAGACAAGACAGACTCGGGAAAAAAGGGATTTAACAAACCCAAAACAAAATTGGAAAACAATGTGCCTTGCTGTTAACTAAACTTGAAGTGGTATACCATTGGTATTGCTTGTCAAAAATATCCCCTTTTGAAAACCCCATGGAAAAAAGTGTTAGCCAACTAGCTCAGTGGCACCAGTTATGAATTTTTTATACATTGTATCCTAAGTGACTCCCTTAACCAATACTAGCAAATCCTTCTGTCAGAGTTGATTTTGATGATAGACAAGTTTATGTATTACCTACAGATTTCGTTACTAATTGTACATTGAACAAAAGTGCATTACAGCTTCTGCTGGTCTAGATCTTTTTTCTAAAAAAAAAACAATACCATTGATCATAATCCTGTCCCAGGAACGATCAAGTATGAAAGTTACGCGAATAATAGAAGATTGATTTGCATATTGAATTTTGATGCAGAAAAAAATTAAAAACATTTGCCTTTCAATATGATCCTTAGATACGGCAAACAAATTAGGTGATAATTACTTTGTCTGCAAAGAGTAGTGAAGTGTAGTAATTTGAAAACCAAGTGATACAAGGCAAATAACCATCCTGAGCATCATAATCTATTTTCTAAAATGCAGCTTGTCCATTGTTACATTAAACACAGCAAAAAGGCTTTTTAAATTTGATTTATTGTCAAATAGGTAGTGAAAAGGCTAAGCACTCTACCAACATCACATCTGTAGTACAATGACGTATGCGCTCCTCACCAAGCTGTCCCAGTAGTTACAACACCAGCATCTAACAATATGGAAGTCTGTCAGCATGAACTGTCAATAGGTCAAAATCTGTTCTGACCAATTAACATCCTATTAGTCCACTCAAACGGTCGAGGAAAGGAAGGTAGTCATTGTTTTCCTTTAATCTTTCATGGAACGTGGCCATTACTGACCACCTTCAATTTCCCCTCGAACCAAATGGTCTGTTAAACCATAGAGGGCAGTTAAATAAAAATCAACCACATTACCAGACAAGAATGGCAAATTTCATGTTGTAAAATGAAATTAATGAACCAGGTGTGTATTTATGACAAATAAGTGGTACTTTCATGGCATTATTAATTGAATTAATTTCACCAACTGTCATGCTGGGACTTGAACCCACAACCCTAGACCATTAATCTGGGCCTCTGGATAAATAGTTCCGCAACATCAGCGTGCACCACTTTCTCCCTATATTTGAAAGGATTTTGGCCAAGTCAGTGATAATGGGCAAGTAATTCACATTTACTCAGAACAAACTGGTTTCTGACTACAGATAGTAGGAACTGCAGATGCTGGAGAATCTGAGATAACAAGGTGTAGAGCTGGATGAACACAGCAGGCCGAGCACCATCAGAGGAGCAGGAAAGCCGACGTTTCGGGTCTGGACCCTTCTTC